CTCTACAACATAGATACTTTTGGATACTATAAGAAACCGAGTTCTTGTTCCTATCTCTCAGGAAAGCACAGAAATATTTCGCAAGCGACAAAATTCAAACACTTCAAATCCATTCAGAACTTTGGATATGGAACTTATTTGACAAGCTGATTACAGATGTAGCTCACTGATTGCGAAATAAGGTCTCTTTCTAGGCTAACTGCTGAAAGTACACTCTTCTTCGCCGCGCGCGATTTCGCGGACCGAGAGGTGTTAACGCAGAAGGCTCCTTATCGTCCAAGTATGAAAACAGTGCAATCCCGGTTGCAGCGCATGCCTTCTCTGTCGGGAAAATCGCTCTCAAATTTACATGCGCAAGCCAATCTTACACGCACCCGGACGAGTTGGCAACTTCCTTCTCACTATTGGAGGCTGCCCGCCGCAATGCTATAATCGTTGAGTCCCGCAACGATTCAGTGTTATCAGCCTTGCACTCGTTCAATCTTGAAAGGAAGGAGGTTGAAAACGCTCGTTTTCGCCGTTTTCGATTTCTAAAGTGGATATTCGTGATCAGCGTATTGAATAACCCCAGGTAAGCGAAATTTTGACTAGGTTGAGATTTGCCGAGCCAGTGCCTTTAACTACACAGGCAAACACCGCATTGTATTGGGGCAAGTTTGCGTGCTTCACAGTGACGGCCAATCTTTGCTGTCGACGACTCGACATTGGAAGCTCATCGATAGTAACGGGAACGCCCATAATCGGCCGCGGAACTGGTGGGGAAACTGAGTCGCGCCCCAGCGCTAATCGATTGGAGCATGTTATCCTTCGCGCATTTAGAGATCTGGACATAACAGTCCTTCATAGTAACTGTCCTCATTGTCTGTATTGTTGTGCGGCAACGATGCAGCACAATGAGGTTGATGACTAACTATTCACTTCGGAATGTGCACATTGTAGCGCGAGCTCGTTCTGATAATTTTGTAAAATCATTAGCTTCGACTGTACTGATGACTGTTATGCGCTTCAACAGTCTTGTTCACTCTTCAGAGATCATAGAAACAGAATTGCTGCTTTCGTCGCAGCCTCATATGGCTTCTTCAGCTTGCATAAGGTCGGATATGGATTACTTCCTCCTCAGAAAGGAGGTTGTATTGTAGCGCCGTAGAATCGTCGCTTTTGCGAGGCTTACATCATCATGCTTACATCATGCTTTCGGATAGTGTTTATGTTTACCATACATCTGACGTACCATTTTTAGCTCGGTCAATGGCAGTTGCCACTTCAAAATTTCATAACGTAGGACTGAACATACTTTTCCATTTTTGAGATTCGGAGCAACGAGGAGCAACGAAATTGAGCACGCCAGTACTGCAGATGTCACTGGCCTGCAGTACCGGCGTGCTCATGCTGCTAAGGCACGCATTTGTCATGAGGGGAGGAACTTAGAATCTGCAGTAGGCAAGCATCAACTGCAAACGTCATGACTTTTGTATGACGGTAACCGGGTCCAATTTGCAACGCAGGAGACGAACTTTTTTGACCTGGGAGTTCTATCTATAGTGTCTTGAGCAACAGCATGTACTGGCACTAACACAGCAAATTTGATGACTTATAAATCTTCAGTATGGAAAAGTTCTGATGACCCTTGCTCAGACAGCTATCTTATCTTAAAGGCAGCGGCTCGGCAGATTGACCTACCTTAGATTTTGACACAGATGGATAGGAGGCCCTCCAAGTGAACCAAAACAGAAACTCCGCGCCGAAAATGTAAACTCTGCAAGCCAGGGGGCGGCCCAAGCGCCCCTCCCCTTCCTCCTTTCGCTCCCCTGACACCTTGTTCGGAAGTATTCTCCGCTAGACGGCGCGGGACCTCCCACCGCTTCCCCGCATTGTGCATGCTTGCAAAGCCAAAATTACAGGCACCAGGGTCTTCGTGCCAGGGCCTTCCGACTTTCCTTTGAAATTCTTGTCCGAGCTGCCTTTTGGAAATTGAAAAAAACGCCACGATAAAGGCCTTTTCACCCCTTTTAAAGCTCAGATTCGGGATCTACGGGTCGAGAAGGTTCAAAACATGCAAAAAATGGAACTGCAAAATCTGCCGAGACGCTGCCTTCAAAATGACTGACTAGCTACCGGAAAAGTCGGAAAAGTGCCAACAATAATTCTTGAAAAGATGTTTGGAGATCGAACATGGGAACCGGGTCGAATTCGTAGATGTTGTGTTCGATTCTGTACTAGGTTCTCACAGTATTCAAGGATGTCATTGTGTACTCGATGAGTGAGCATACTCTTCAAACTTTTCTAAACCCGGCGGACATTTATAGAGTCACAACATATAGATATTTTGCAAGATAAACATCCACCAAAACCTTATTTTTACAGCATCGCAAGATCTGTTCCCTTGATTTCTCGGATCAACTGTGGTACTGATGCTGAACTAGGACTGGATGTTCAAAGCCACAAACCAGTCTCAGTTCACGAATTGCAGTGGTTTTTTGACTCACGTACAAGCGCTGGCTTTTCTCAGCGCCTCATGCCTTTTGCATTAGACTGTGCTTTTACCCGTAAAAGTTATGTAGAGAAGTAGCTAGCTCCACAAGAACTTCCCAACGTTAACACCAGCACAAACCCAAAAAAATGCAAAGTGTCATAGTTCGCCCAAGTTCGGCAAGCTGTAAACTTGTTAAGAAACCTCTTAAGTTATTAACTACAGTCAAGAACTGTGATGGTACTAGAAATCTTATGTGGAGTAAAAGCAAAAACGATGCCCTATCGGAGTCATCATATTCACTTTGCTTGCTAAGTGCGCGAATCGAGAAAATAACGTGCTCCAATCGATTTGCATTGGGGCGCGACTCAGGTAGGTGCCAGCTCAGGGATTCGCTCCGTGCGGGCGGGTTGCCACGCCGCAGCGAGCGAGCGCCGGTGTTGCGGGCCGTAGCGGTATCGCAGCGCGCCCGCATGACGGTGGGTTGCCGCACGCACGGGGGTTGATAATTTTGGACACTTATTCGGGGTTATTTTTGTTGCTTGTTTATGTGTGGTGCTTGAATGTACTCCATTAATGCGTTAAGTGTTTATTTTGTAAACCAAAACATCATAACATTACAATTCGACAGAATCGCGCAAGCAAGAATGTATAGCTGTCCTATAAAAGAACAAACTAACATCATGAACAAGAACAGAAAGCAAGATAAGAGACAAGACGAACTGTCAATTCCTATGCTGCGCGTTACAATCTCTCATATAACATTTGATATTATATACAAATATAACACAAAACAGTAGTCCGTAAGGTTGCTTCGAATTCTGCGTTTCCGCTCGTTTCTTAAAGGTAACCTTCATCCAAAATAGTTATTTTTTCCACGCTCTGAAAAATAAAACTGTCAAACAAACACAGCACGCCAACAGTGATATAAGGAATCACCTTTGCTTCGATCTTCAGCCTTTATCCATTTGTATTTTGCTGAAAGTAATTGCGCATCTCATTAGAACAAATAAGATTGCTATCATACCTCGTTGTGTGATCCAATAAAGACATCCTTGAGGATCTGGAAATGAAGGGCTTTCTGATTAATGTCGTAGGACCACTTCGAATAAAACGTCGTGCTATCACACCTATCCTTCGTATCCGCTGAAAGAATTGGGCATATTATCAAGGCAAGCGAGTCAAGGAACCATACCTTGTCGTGTAGTCCAATAGAACCTTGAGGTAAGAAAATTTGATAGAGTGTTCGTGGCAATCGATGTTATGGGTTCCATTTATGGAAAGCGTCGGATCATCACAAGTGAGCGTAGGCAGAATGTTACACATCGAAATGAGGTGCGAAGTCTCGGTAAACGTCAGTTATGGCAAAGGTCAATCAATGAATGACACGGATGACAAAAAACTCAAACAAACAAAAATACCATGGAAAAAGACGTCATAGTATCCCAGAATGCTCTAGCATCAATATTGAAAAAGAAATACGCATGGGAGGGCGATAAAACTATTGCAGCATAGCATCCAAAACGATGACAAATACAGCATAAGAGAAGTCCTACATAAGCTAGAGAAGATTCAAGTATAGAAGCTTTTGTTATAAAACAATCTCAAAGGAGAAAGTTAAGAAGATCTGCGCATCAATTACCGTGCCTTTTCTTTTTGAAACAGTCCGTAATTGCGCGTCTGGGCAGCGTTCCTTTACGCGCTGCCGCAGAAAAGACATGGCTGCCCGCTCGCATGCCTAAACTCATGCGGCGCGCTCGCACGGGGGCTCGAATGACCCTTATAATTAGGCTGCCCGCACGCACGGAAGGGCTACTTCGCAGCCCGCCCGCACGACCCAATGCTCTGAGAGAGTAAGCGAATATTTTGTTCAGGTTGGGGTCTCGCGCAGAATCGACGTCACTTGGATTGACGCCAGCATGGTGAGTGGCGTCAACTCTGCGCGGGACCCCAACTTGAACAAAATATTCGCCTACTCAGACAATTCTGCGCGCAAGCGGCGCGCACTCACGGCCAGCAGGGCAGGCGGCGGGCCATGATTTGTGGGCGTGACCTTGCACCGCACAGGCGGCGCGCACTGATTTCAGCCAACAGGCGGCGCGCAATGCACGTTCGCAGGCGGCGCGCAGACACAATGTGCGTGCAGGCGGCGCGCAATGAAGTTTCTGTAGCTTCACGTAAGCGGAGGAGGACGCTGCTTCCGCGCGCAAATGCAGAATTTTTTGCAGATAATTGTTTGTCCTCGTTCCTCCTTGTTTTTTCCATACAAAGTATTGTGTTGTTTATTACCTCACTTTTACTCTGCTGTTTCACCTCTTTTTTCTGTTTCTAAATTGTTTTGAAATCAAGTATGCGATTTTTTTTTGCCTTTTTTAGCACGTCTTCTTTTATTTAATCCATATTCACTCTTGTTTCTCAGTCAGTTTTCCATATCTTTTATCCTACCTCTGGTTCCTAATCATATTGACCCCGTGACACAGGGACGCTCATTTTCAATCAATAAGCTTTCTTGTGTCGTTGCGCCTCCTTCGTTTCTTTCCGTTGCTATTTCTTTTTTTTTCACAAGATAAAAGCAAAGTTCAATTCAGGTCACAACTGCCTTAGTACAATGATGGCTATGTGCGAATGCCGAAAAAAAGTCGACCTCAAAAGAGTAAGTCTTGCTTTTTGAATCCAAAGTAGGCATTTTGTTTAAAAACATTATTGTGTTTCAGCCACCGATCTACAATGACTCCAAATACCAAGAATCAAGACAATTTATGGTTGTGGGACCTCAGCCTTGACTTTATTTATCTTGAAGAGGTGAAAAAATGCATTTTTTCCGCATTCGTCAATATTTATTGCTTTTTCTCTTTAGTTTGTTAATAGCGTGTATTTCAGCGCCACAGCATGCGCCTAGACCGACTGATGGAATCAACTCTTGATAGAACAAAAACCATTACGAGAACTAACGAGGACGAGGCTGATCCAGATTATTCATGTCTTAGATTTGTTTATGTCTCATCATTCATCCCAATTTTCATGCTTATACCCATCATATCTCCGTCATCCAATTGTTTTATTCCTGTAATTGAATTGAGTATATGAATTCCAGGAGCATTCAATTCTGGCTGATCAAGCATGCCCGCGTTTTGTTCATTGCTATCGCATTTTCATATTTTATTCCTCTAAATCTGTACATATATTATGCATTCATATCTACGTATACTGTTCAGTTTATTTATCAAAGTACTTAGTGATTTTACTGGCAGTTATTTCAAGTTATCTCGTCATACTGTTGCATTAGTTACTATCAACTTCATTGTATTCATTACTTCATACACACGTCTTGTTGATATCACATTTGAATGTAAATACCTTGTTGTTGTACTTTAAGTTTGTGAATTTTGTAAGTACTACCTAAGCTAATAGTATTGAATGCCAGCTGTCAAAGACAGCCTTATCCTGTAAATACTGTATTTTGTTGCAATTTGTGTTGAAACCTGTCAAATTTGAAAATTGTAGATATTATTCGTTAATAAAACAGTTGTGAAACCATATTGTCCAACAAGCATAAGATATTCAGACCGACAACAAAAATCCGAGCAGATTCCTGCCAAAATTTTCCTCGTAGCGCGCAGGCGGCGGGCCTTCAATCCATAGGCGGCGCGCACTGCACACACAGGCGGCGGGAAGGTACATCGCTCGCTGATTCAGTGCGCGCCGCCTGCGCGCAGATTTGTCTGAGTACTCTGGCACCTACCTCAGTTTCCCCACCAGTTCCGCGGCCGATTATGGGCGTTCTAGTAACGGGCCTTACTCCCGTTCAGTAGTTTCCTCGAACCAGCTCAGTCGCTACTCTAAAGCTCTCTTCTTTAGAATGGGCATATATGTTGAGCTGGTTTGAAAACCTTATAACGACTGAACAAAGTTATACAAAACGACAAGCGCGTAAAAGGAGGATTGCGAGGGTAAATTCACGTGATTTCCAAAAAGTTAGCTTTAGTTCGCAAACTAAGTTCCTAACAATCTTTTCTATAGTAGTAGAACTATGGATACATCGCTTGGCTTTTGAGGCTATGGAAGTATAGTATAGCATGCAATTACAAGAACCCTAAACTTTAGCAAGAATTAGATTTAAAACAGGGTTCTACAAATTTTTCAAATTAGTTAATTTGGGTCAGTATTTAACTCGCATCCATGTTCAAATGTCAACCATACAAACTCGCATCCATGTTCAAATGTCAACCATACAGAGTACAAAGGAATTTGGAAGAACATTTAGGCATTTTTATTGATCTAAACCTATCAACTAGCGATACTAGATGCTGAACTCTAGCCAGTAAATCCAGGAATGTTTTCACGTCTCTTCAGTTCTTCCACCATCTCACGAGCTTTATCAATGTACTCCTTCGCTTTATCCATATTCTGTTCTATGCCGTCGCCGAGTTTATACATTCTAAACACTCGCTCACTTTAATTAATCGAAAATTCCTCGAAAACCATCAACTAACCGAGCAACATTGGCGCAGCTCTGTGGGATGTCCAGTTCGCACGCTTTGATCCCATATTCTAATGCCTTGTACATATCTCGATCAAGAGATCCTAGCGATGATCGATCAACCTCCTGATTTCCTACTACATCACAGAAAAGTATATCATTCGTATAGCAAGGGTAACTATCTACATACTGTTACGAATTCCTTGGTGAAAACTCCAAAAAATGTAAGGAAGAAGCACGAAAGAAGCGATAACAGTATATTCAAGACAATCTACCTTAGCCTCACCAGTCGGCGCTGTACGAAATCGTTCTTTATTACCCATGTACCATGTGCTGAGCAACCAACAAGCTTCGCCATCCTCTAATTCACAAGCTCTAAGCAAGTTTCGATTTCGACATTCTCAAGACTCAAGTTAGCGTTTAAACCTCTTCATATAATGCTCAGCTTTCTTGGAATCGGCAGGTCGATGTTTTTCGCCATTCCAGTGTACTAACGATAGATACCTTGGTCAAGTACCATTTTATACTGACATGAGATCTGGAGAGAAAGCACTCACCTGCAACCTTGTTTTATGTTCCCATCACAAGCGATCTGCATTGGCTCAATCATTTTTGTTAAGTCCGGCGTACATTCTGAGAAAGCTTTTATGGAAGAACATTCCAGCGGGGAAACACTTTGCTATGATTGCTTCAGCAGATAAGCAGTGATGGAGAAGGGACAGAGATCTGAGGCTGTACACAGAACTGGAGCAACAAACCTTTGCCAGCCAGAAGATACATGCCATATTTGTAGCAGCTTTGCGGATATTTCCTTTCTTCGCAATTCTGCTTGAACAACGTAAACGCAGCTTTGAAGTTCTGCTGCAGCGCTTCCATGTATTCACCAAGCAGCTGACAAGACTCAGGACGCTTTTCCTGAAAATCTGTCCAAAATGCAAATGCTAAGATTAAACTAGCAAACTGGCTAGACTAAAAAACCGAGAACTACTATTTTATTATCCATGTACTAGTAAGAGGTAGAACAGTGTAAATGACTGTATACAAAAAGAGCATCGGCCAAGCAAGGTCTGTGTCAGATTTCCTCTGCATACTTTGAAAAAGAAGCGCCTCAGGCAGCGCAAAGGCTCAACAAGCATGCGCAGGGTCGTATGTACTTACAGGAAGGACCTGAGAAAACAAAACAAAATAAGTGAATTTTCGATTTTTGGATAGTTGTTTTCGCATACGAATATCGAAACCATGATTGAAAACGAAAAAGTCGTTAACTTTAGGCTGATGACACATGAACTCAATGGGCAACGCAAGTCTAAGACATCCTCTTCAATTCCAACAAGATAATGTACCTGCTATAAAAATTATCCTCCGACTCCTAAGAACGAGGTTTAATTGCCCGCGACCAGCGTTCACGGTCTTTCAGGCAACTGCTCGTCTGGCAATAGACTAATGAGCAACTTGGTGATAATCCGTATTCAAACGCAGCGTCCGGCAAATTGGACATGTGGGGACCTTATATGGCAAGTTTTGGGACTATAATTAAGCATTGAAGCTGCAGCCCAGATAGTATACTCACGCCTAAGGTAATCATCTTCAAACCAGACCCCAGAGTCGTATCAAAGAGAACTTGCCTCATGCTCGCATGTTTTTATACCATGACCCATCAGTTTCGCGTGGTTCCTGCGCGAAAGCATGCAAACACTATGCAAGTCGTCCGTTTATAATATCCTGGGGTCCACCTTTGCGACGAATGAGCCGTATGGAGCATTCGCGCAACCGCTTGGGCGGGGTGGAGGACATTAGGTAGCCGAAAAAGGGCGGTCCCCGCGGTCATTTGCGACAAATACGCACCCTTGTACATGCGCGGACATGCGTTCCTGCAAGGAATCCGCGCGGGACTCTTCCAAATTCGGCGACCTAATGTCCTCCACCCGCTTGGGCGTTGTCTTAGTTAGGGCCCCAAAATTACTCTCCACGTGAGATCCCCATAGGTCCAGATCTGCCTGGACGCTGCCTCAAAGTGGAATACAGGACCTAAACTGATGCAACTGATGTCCCCTTTCAGAACGGCTCTTGAGTAGACTACAAAGACAACAATATTGAAGTTCTACATTAATTATGTCGATTTTTCTTCGGACGCTCATTTTGAATCCTCTCAATAATCACCAATTCATAACTTCCCCTGATGATATGTGAAAGAAACCTCATAACAGCCGAAGCGATATTCGATGCCGATGTTCTTCACATATTCCCGTCGCTCCTTCTGCTCTCTCTCAATTTCTTCGGAGATCATCTAAAGTTGGTGCGAAAACTGCGTTATCGTTATAGCTCGCAACCTTAGAGAATCCATGGACCATGTAACCGCAAGCTATCTCAGAACACGATAGAAGGATATAATTTATTAACGAACCAAATCAATAAACGTTTTCGATACTCTCTAAACATTGAGAAGTAAAAGACCAGTATAATAAACGCACACCAGAATGAAGCCATCCATACAGGAAACCAACGAACGACCGTCGAAGATCGAGGATCTCAGTCCACCGAACATTACAGTTCATGCCCTCAGCAAACATTCTACCGTACAAGAAAAATAAATGTGAGGAGAAAATGGCAATTATGTTTCACAAAAATGACAGACATGGCGGACATGACAGTTTGCATGTACCATCAACAGCTTTACAGTTTATCACATATCATCTTCCTATAAAGACAGAGATGAAAGCGTAGAATCCAAAGCTAAGACGTTTAAAACTTACACTCATTCTGTTCAAGATGTAATCTATAGCCATTTCCTCATTCTTGTCGCACGCTAGGTAAGCCTATAAACAGCATATTTTGTTCACCTTGGTCAGCATTTCGCAGAGATTCATAAACTATGCAAGAGGGTACAATTGGCACGCATAGCACACTGAGACTGCGCCTTCGAGAAGGTGCAATATACAAGGTCGCTATAACATCAAAAAAAGAACACATTCGACTTTCTTGTAAGACTGGACACTATCTTGGTGGGCTTTTAGATCATAAAGTACAGAATCAACAAGACTGGAAAACCTACTTCTATTATAAGCCCATCCGAAACTCGAAATCCAAGTGATTTTATGCGTTGAATAGCAGCTGCTTCTTGTTCAGTGAGGTCGATAACGTGTCGTCCAGAGTATGGATTCTGATTACCGCCTGCACCTCCTTCTCCACCACCAGCTGGCTGAATCAAAGATTATTCATCTATGGGACACACCAGCAATATGCAGAATGATGGGAATAAAGTTTACTTCAAAGAACAAAACTTCTGCATTACTAAGCCACCCACCTGTGCGCTACCGGAACTGGGAGGGGCATTCAGAATACGCAGAAATTCTTCTTGGTTGTTTTGGATTACCTCCATCAGCTCAGGATTCACAGATGCGATTTGCTATAACAGATTTTTGATTTAGCGCGTATGTGTTTTCACATCACTTCTCACCTGTATCAAAGATGGGAGAATCTCTGGGTTAGACCGAACAAGATTACGCAGTTCGTCCATTTGAGGTAATTGGCGAAGTGCCTCCAACTGAGATGCTGCGCTTTCACCTGAAAGAGATGGTCTTAACTCGTGGAAAAGCCTATGCAAAATGACACTTCAAAATAGCGGTAAATCTTATTGACTACATTCAGGATGAAAAGATGTTTACAACGAATGTACGGCAACTCAAAGAGCTGACAAATATCTTCGATATTTGCCCTCTCTGGGTCCACAGAGCATGGAATCCCCGCCCGCCCCCCTCCCCAACCCTCTTTGCAAATAGATGAACGATTTAATACGAACATCTCATGCTGGCAAGCAGCCCAAACTAGCACGAGGTCAAGCCGGTGTTTACTCAGAAGCTGACTTAAAGGGCTTTAGCGCAAAAAAACCTAAATTAGTGATTCTGATGTGCTGAGCCTTGCAGTTTACGCTTGAAAAGAGCACAATTAAGGAAAACAGATTTTCTCACCCTATATCAAGAGTACTGCTGATGAACAAATGAATAAAAACGACCCAGCAATGCCCTCTACATGTGAGCCCCATTTATCTCAACAGAACAAAGAGTGGCACCTTGTTCGCTTTCCTCTTCTTCACCTCCCACTTCGATAGGAATCTGTTCCTCGTCAGGTATTCCATTCAGAAGATATTCGACAGCACGATCTGCGTTCCAAAAAGCCGCACGGAGTGCAGCTACAACCTATAGTACTAGGTTATTCAGCCGAAATGAGCACTGTTATACAAAATTATAGACAAGGGGTTTTGCTACGTTTCAGCTTCTGCAGCATCCAGTGACAAACAATTTCAATAAGACTAGCCTAATAATCAACTAACTTAAGATGCAACCAATTTTCTAGCAACAGTAAAGCTATCTGACGAGCTATCTGATCATATATAGTAAATTCTAAATTAGCACACTAATCATTGACTCTAAAGGACTAGAAAGATGTCTTGAAAGCTCGAAAAGACAAAGATTAAAAAAACGTCATCCGTCCTGTTGATGGTTCTTGGAAGCAAGAACATTGACTAGGAACACTTCATAGACATTGCATGCACTACAATTTGATTTGAAGTCAAACTTATATATTGAGAAAGATTAGCATTCTTGCATAGCAGAACTTTCACCCACTAATCAGGAACATAAACGCCACTTCATTACCATTAGACGGTAACGTCCAAAACTTGTGAAGCTCAATTGACTATACAAAGAGATTACCCGCATTTCGCGCCATCAAACAAAACCTGAGAACGAAAACAATGAAACGAAAATCGGGCTTTTCTTCATTAGATAGCGCACAAGGACATAAGGGCCAACAGCATCAACAAAATGAATTGTCCGTAATTAGTTAGGAGAACTAGGATTATATTAAACAATACTCTTGCCAGGGATATCGGAGTCAAGATATGGCATAAACAGTGGATTAAAAATTTATGAAAAGCGAGTTGACTTTTTAAGACCCTCACCTGATCATGTGGATAACCCATAGCTTGGATGGCGTCGATTGCGGACTGTTGATCAGGAGTGAAGGCTATAACTTGGACTTGAGAAGTTAGAAATGATGAGATGGTGACAAGGCAAGTCAAAACATTTCAAAGCACCCATTAACAGCGGAGAATAGCTATACATGCTGACTTACACCGCGCAGCAGCAGGTGCGGGAGTGGATTCAGGTTTAGCTTCTCCAGAGGCCGGTGCTGGTGTGGAAGTCGCTGCGGCTGAACCCGCAGCACCTTCTGCTTTCTTCTCAGTTGTGCTAGCTCCTGTGTCAGACTGTGCAACTGCTGGAGCTGGTGCTGAAACCGCTGCAGAAGCCGGTGCCGCAACTGCTGCAGGGGCAGGTGCGGCAACCGCAGCAGGAGCAGCTGCCGGCGTCGATTCTGGAGCCGGTGCCTTCTTCTGCAATAACAGACCATGGACATAACAGATATACGAACATGGTGCTTCTGACACCTTACCCTCGATAGCATCACAACAACGAATTTATTAGGATCGATACCCACTTGCTCAACTGTCAAACTGTCATCAAGAATCTGCAATCAAAGCTCAGAGCATAACTTTACCAATGGAACAAGATTTTTGAAGAATAACCTTGCCGTTGTAAATCAATTTTTGGAGCTCCACGGCGTAATCCTCGCCTTTCTCGTCGGCGATTTTCTTTTTTACATCAGCGACCTGAACTGAAATGTTAACACCTGATTCATCGTTTGCGGATAGAACCCATAACTTTGATGACTAAAACAGCATTGACACTATCTTTTAGAGATATAAAACTCTTCCAAGGTCGTAAGCAGTCTAGATGCATTGTTTAGGTGTACTTGACTTCATCATACGGTAACTTCAAGGTGCCAAAGTGGGTTTAGCGGGTAAGAACAGCAGCTCCATTTTTTCTTAGGGAAACCAATCGCAAAACCGAACCAATTACATCACGCGTAGACACCACAGAACCCTAGCCATGCTTAGTTTAGCGGCAATCTTTGCAAATATGCATAACAAACTAGACTACATAACGCACTGTCTCTTTAATAATGCTCTACACTAACATATCGTATGTAACGTGACAAACAATAATAACATGCAATATACAGCAATCGAGAGACATGCAAGAAGAGAAAATAGCGCAAAGTAATCTTATCTAAGCGCAAAAACCAATAAACCAACGTAAATCGTTGCATAGAACAAAAAATCTTGACGTACCGTTAACGAAGGCTCGAGATCCATGGTGAAAGACAGTTGCGTAATTGTTCGAAAAGTTATTGTAGGCATCTTCCTGAGATTTTGAATAGAATAAAAAATAAGATTACTGCGATGCGGAGAGTGCGGATGCATTCGTGAATGATAAGATGGTTCCGCCATATAAGAACGCCAAATGTAAACCTGTTGACACCAAAGTCTATCAAGAAGTCTGCTTAGTGTTGTGCACATGTTCAAAAGAAAAAATATACTGCGACTGCAATCATGATTATTCTCAGATACTACTGACAAATAGAACAGCGAAAAACGCCGATTTGCAGGAACAAAGCGAGATGACTGAGTTTGTTGGGGAATAAAGTTGTTTGTCAAGCTAAGAGATTCGTAGGAAACAGGAAACGCCAACAATTAGCAGGAAGTCGTAGCACTTCTACAATTTATTTACAAGACAGATCCAAAAGTCCGCTTACACTAATAGTGCTGCGAAACAATATAATCGACTATACTGAGTCACAAAGTTGCATCACAATAGCCAAAAATGGATTGTTACGCGAAAACATCAGCAAATACTGAGTCAACAATAATCCCATATTATAGGGAACGTCATCATACCCGGAGCTGGTCTCAAGCAGATTTGCCTTCCGTCAAAGATAAAAGACGGTTCGAGCGGATCCTTGCTTCCAGCATCAGTTTGATTTTGAAAAGAAAAATTCCTCTGGAGGTGGTTTATGTGGTGAGTACAATATTAGTTCTTGATGTCAACGATTAACTTTGTCGATTGTATTGATTTTTTGCGGAGTTTGAGCCATGGCACGCGCCATACTTGATTCGCTTGATCCGCTTCATCCACTTTGCTATTGGTCAAATCAGCCAACTGGCCAATGGCGAAGTGGATGAAGCGGATCTAGTGGATCAAGTATGGCGCGTGCCTATAGCTTATAGCATAGCCCGTATACTGAGATTGAGCACCGGGGGGGGGGGGGGAGTGCGCTGGTGTCAGAGGCAATTGCCAGATGGGCATCAAATGGCACACAATAAGAGTTCTACATAACATTCTAAAAAGTATTTGAATTTAAGGAGGAGATATATAGTTGAATGAGGTGCTTGATCTTTCTGCCTTGGAATCAGTTCCAAACAGCAATTTTGAAGGTCAAAATCCATGAGCAGTTGAACAAATCCATGAATATTTCAAATCGTTTTCCAGCAAAAGTCCCCAAACTCAACAAGTTGTAGATAATCTCCAGATAGTAAGCCCAGCCGGAGAAATCGCGTCTCTTTACCTTTTCCCAGTGAACGCCCTGATTACGAATATACCTTATTGGAAACGCGGGCAAGGTGATGTTATAGGATCTTACACTAGCTCCATGTGGTAGTTTATGCCCTCGGACATGCCGTCGTGAAAGTGTGAGGCTATAATGACCAGCCAGAAGCAAGAAATACGGTCAGAAATTGGGAGGCTTATACACCTAGCGAGATGCGTCTCAGTCTTGGTGGGAGCTGCTTCACTCCTCCAAATTCTAATCGACGGGCTTTGGAGACTGCCTGTTCTGGCTGTCTTCGCGCGTTTTTGGGAAGAATTTACACTTGCCCAAAGACTTGTTTCATACTGCAGTGATCGCAGCGGTTTCATTCATGTTGGGGTGGGCAAAAATATTGTTCGATCGGCTGTCGCTGTTGCATCGACTGCAGTATGCAACAACCAAAAGGAAGCATGGTCAAGGGGTAGGTCAAAGGCAGTGTCCGGGCAAAAACTCGATTTCGAGATTTTGTGCTCACCCGGGCCTATTCGCTATGCTGAATCCGAAATTCCACATTGGAAAGCGCGAAAACGACGAAAAAGGGCACTAACACTGGAGGGAAATCAGGAGTGGGCGGGGTTTTCCCCAATGCGAATTTCGCGGTCCCAGCTTCCAGAGCAATTTTCTCAAATCCGTTAGCCGCCCTGACATCACTACCGATCAAGTGCAAACGAATGACTTGAAACCGGAATCAAAAAGATCGCCCCCGAAGCTGGGAGCGTGAATTCACCGCGGGGAAGACCCCGCTCACTTGCTGATTTCCCTCCAGTGTTGGAGCCCTTTTTCGTCGTTTTCGCGCTCTCCAATGTGGATTTTCGGATTCAGCATAGCGAATAGGCCCGGGTAAGCACAAAATCTCAAAATCGAGTTTCTGCCCGGACACTGCCTTCAAGCGTGAGGTATGACATGCCATACCGGGGGTTGTATTGACTCAGAGAATCCCCGGAGGGAGGCGGCCATCTATTTATAGGCAAGCGAGCACCTGAAAAATAGTTCGCTGATTTCTTGCGGTCCGCTTGCAGATATTCGGAAGAATGTTGGCCACTATTTAGACAAGCGACCAACGAACTATTGCGGCTTTTTCATAAATAAAGTGCGGCGCAGTGGCCGTATTCTCGTAAACCTCGAGAGTATGCGAAATTGTTGTGGGCCGCACAGTCCTTTGTGGAGGACCACACAGCCCGTAGGTACTTCCACTGAGAGTAATTGAACCCAGTGATACCTCTGCCATATAGAGTGTTATCTTGGCTCGGCGTGTGCTCGAAACTGAGCAGAGTTAGAGCGCTCGCTGAAAGAAGTTATCTGACGACCGCTCGCAGAAAATGATGTTTTGCCCTGCTGGCAGACTATGCGACAGTAGAGGAACGCTCGCTGAAAGGACTCGGTAGCAAGACTTTGGCCATGCCCAAAGTCCTGCTGACCGCTGCAAAAAAGCGGGAGTTCGCGGTCCACTTTTATGGAGGGGTCAGGGGGAGGGGTGAATCGTTGTCGAGGTAATGCTGATGTTAGCGATAACCAGGGTCAAGCGAGGGACTGTAGATCCGCCCTTAGCTGGGGATCCCTCGACTGGAGCACGGATTCTGTTTGGAGCTCCTCGTCTTTTCCAGGGATTTTGCCAAGCATATTTTGTTTAAGCTCTCTAGGACTTCCATTTGCACTTCCTAGCGCATACTCAGGATGTGGTGCCAAAGAGCGCTTTTGGAAACAAACTCTAAAACACATCTTTTTTGACTAAACGAGTATTGGCAAATGCGGCGACTTTGCACTTCAATTGTTCCGCCTTGGAAGCGAAGCCGTTCTGAACGCTGAACTAACTACTCTTCAGAATGGCGTCATCGAACGGCCTTGTTCGGCTGAAAGTCGTGAAGATCGTTGAAATTTGATTCAGCATGTTCGTTACGTAGCATTTGTATGCCTTGAATACGCTTGTGCCCGAGCTAGCGATGGGAAAATCGGCAGTACAGCACCGCTGGAAAGAATATCCGACATTTTGTGATACGAGCTTTCCCCAGTACACATGCGATTTGATCAGTCCACTTCCAGCAATCCAATACGAAAAACGTTACAAATTTGCCCAAAACTTTGTCAAGGAATTTCTCCAATACGTGATTACGGATGCCCTACTTTACCAAGTTTTGATACCTTCTCGCGGAGTTACACTGGGTTTACGGGCAGACAGCGAAGATCTGCCTGGAACTATGGGCATGAAAGGTATCTGACGTGCTAATCACATAAATGCGTTCATTTCGCATGATAGATTTTTTACTACTATCCCAGCCGACCCCTAATGAAAATCTCCGAATTCACTGGAACCTTGTGTGGGGGGGGGGGGGAGGTTGTCTAGCATGCTTCTCACAAATAACATATTCATCCGTCACGCTAGCACCTTACCGCGTGTAGAGGCATAAGTTCGAAATCCTAGATTTTGCTGGTGTTTCGTCCAGAGGGCATTCGACATAATGATCGCAAAATCGTGTACTTTTCGCACAGCAAGCCTGGTGAAGTTACGGTGTGGAGGTGCGGTGAGGGGCAGTTACGTACTTGGCTGCAATGTGGTTATGATAGAGCATACATAGGTAGACCCCTATTTGGTTCATACAAGGTAAGGGTACTTGGTCGAAGTGGCGTTTTTATAAATGTACTAGCTGGCTTACCCGGCTCCGCCGTATCCGGACCAAACTTGGCACACATACACTTCGGGCCCCGGCGGGTGTCACAGTCCACTTTTCGTTATCGATCGATGTCGATTTTACCGATTTTTATCGATTTTTTTGCAGAGTTCACCTACAGGGCTAGGAGTTGGCACAGGGGGGGAAGTGAGCATGGGGATTCCGAATACAATATTAGTTTTCAGAATTATCGATTACTTTTATTGATTTTATCGATTTTTGTAAATTTTGACATGTGAGGCTGGGATTTTGCACAGGGGGGTAATCGAGCATGCTGATTACGAACACAATATTAGTTTTCAGGATCGTCCATTACTTTTATCGATTTTATCGATTTGTAAAGTTTGACCTGCGGGGCTGGGAGTTTGCACAGGGGGTAATCGAGTATGCAGATTACGAATACAATATTAGTTTTCAAGATCGTCCATTACTTTTATCGATTTTATTGATTTTTTGAAAATTTGAGCTAGGGGGCTGGAGTTTGGCACAGGGGTGTAATCGAGCATGCTGATCACCCCCCTTGGGAATGATCAGCATGCTCGATTACCCCCCTGTGCCAACTCCCAGCCCCGTAGCTCAAACTTTGCAAAAAAATCGATAAAATCGATAAAAGTAATCGATAATCCTGAAAACCAATATTGTATTCGGAATCCCCATGCTCGATTACCCCCCTGTGCCAACTCCCAGCCCCGTAGGTGAACTCAGCAAAAAAATCGATAAAAATCGATAAAATCGATATCGATCGATGACGAAAAGTAGCCTATGACACCCGCCGGGGCCCGAAGTATATGTGTGCCAAGTTTGGTCCGGATCGGTTCAGAAATGGAATTTTCTATTCGGAACATACGTACACACAGACATACAGACAGACAGACAGACAGACAGACAAACAGACATTCAGCTTTATATATAAGATACTATCTTATAGAGCATTAAACTGATTACGAATCTGCTTTCCTTACCTGCAAAGCGCTTTTGGGAGAGGAGTGCTGAAAAATTTTTGAAGTAAAAATTTAATGATTTGTCTAAGGTAAAAAACAGGCTTGAGTTAGTTTCGGCACTTAAAAGGAGTAATGACTGACATGGGTTTGTTAGATTGGAGGCATTTATTGCATAT